ACCTCCCCAGCGGTACGTGGCGGTAACGTAACGCTCGCGTTACTACGGTAATAGGCGAGTTCCCGCCCCGCCACTCCCCTCCGCGGTGACGTCACCGAGGGATATCGCGGTCGCTAGGCAACGCGAGTCAACAGCGGCGACGTTACGGTAGTAACAGCGGTTACCTCCGCTAGCGTTACATAGCAACACAGCGCCAGGCAACAAGGGTGCCTATTACGTGGCCGTATTGTCCGATCGAGGTTACATAAGGAGCAGCGAAGGCTATTCACAGTCAGTTGTACTGAGTCCGTCAGCGAGTCCAGGAGCTACCTACGAGTCAGTCCTCGAGCTACGTTAGTTCCGAGTTAGCCAGCAACCAGTCAGTTGTAGTCTGGCATTTAGAGTGTACTATTGGTGATACTGCAGATAGCAGTAATCGTAAATCTGTAATTTGGGTGATTGTAAGTGCGAATGTGAAATAAAATTCGCTACATCGAATACATCGATAATTTATTTGTCGCGATATACGCCCGATACGCGACAGTATGTTATTGTTCAATTATAAACTTACAGTTTTTGAGTACATAATTAACAACGAAGGATTTGTAGGACTGGAAATCTGCTCAGGAGGAAAGTAAGACTTTGGGAATTTTATGCTGAACTCTGTTTTAATTCTGGGAATGAGTATTTTATTGTGCATAGATGTTAGCATGTCTTTCATTCCACACTGTATTGTACTGCATCTTATTTGCTTTATTTGCATGCTTATTTTTTCATCATTTTGAAGCAGAAATAGTATTCTTACATGTACAGCCATTGCTAGGCTTTGGGTTATTAAACAAGTTCCTGCAAAGACAGATTCTTCTTCAGATTGATAGGTCACGCAGCAATAGGATGAATGTTTATAGCTCATTTCTAGGCAACAGTCAGCGCGCCAATAGACTGGTGAGATAGCTATCACATGTCTTGTTTTCAGTGTGGCCTGCGCCATGCCCAGTGCTAAGCAGTAGAACTGTAAACATGTCTACAGCAATAGATGTTTTCTGTGCATGGTCTGTACTGAAGATTTATAGGGGCCATGGAAGGTTGTTTGTAGTAGTAGAAGCTACAAGGCAGTTGAGAATACAAGGACAAGAATGGACTGACCTTTTTTTTTTTATTATTGCTGCTGGGGTGGGACTAAGTCCCTTGTACTGCGACCACTTCTGGCCTATTGTACTAGCCCCAGATGATAGGTGAGGGTGATTGTGGAGCTATTGGTGGAATGAAGATTGGCAGGGGAAACCGAAGAAAACCTGCCCCAGCGCCACTTTGTCCACCACAAATCCCACTTGTCCAGACCCGGGGTGTCATTGTATGAAGAGACAACCACTTGTTGAACTGTTCTATAATATTTATTACAGTTGCACAGTATACATGGACGAACTTGAGTTTCAAGAATTGAAGAATAATAATAATAACAATAGTGAACTCCATATACACTGAAGTAGAATTGTAGAACTGTAGAAATCTGGAACTGTAACTCTAAACTTCCACTCAATGTATCTTCTTTTATAACCTAGAGTCGGACATATAGAAAACATGTCACAGTCCATATTGTTGTAGGCTTTGCCTAGCAACCACTCTTTACTCGCTTTGTCTAGCAACTTCTGTTTACTCGCCATTGCTAAGCAATGATACTTGCGTTGTCACATTTGCTTGAATGTGGGCAGTTCCCACATCACTCCCCCGGGGAGATTGTTGCAGAACTGCAGTTGGGGTTGTGTCAGCTGCGGGGTTGAATGTCTTGGTGGTGGTCCCACGGCCTGTCTCGTTTAGCATGTAGGCAGGTTTGACCCTATCAGTTGACACGGTGATGAGCCTGCCGCACACGAGGATTTGCATTGTCTTCTCCTTCCGTGACAGGACCTGGTAGGGGCCGCTGCAAGTTGTGTCCTGCCGGAGGAAGACATGGGTGTACTTCTCGAGGGTGCTGTGCACAAATGTAGCCGGGGAGGCGTGACGTGTTGCCGGAATTGGTCTGAGGTGGGCCATATATTGGCGAAGTTGGGTGATGAGTTGCGCCAGATCCACTGGATCGGCAGTCGGAGTTAGCAGCTCTCCTGGTATTCTTAGTGGCTCGCCATACACGAGCTCAGCTACTGATGCCTGCAGGTCCTCTTTGAATGGTGTATGGATTCCGGGGAGAACCAGGGGAAGGGCTTCTGTCCAGTGTTCGTCTGCGTGGCACATGATGGCTGCCTTTAGTGTTCGGTGGAAATGTTCCACGAGTCTGTTAGCTGCTGGGTGGTGAGCAGTTGTCCACAAGAGTTGAATGCCACAGACCTTGGCCAGGGAGTGGAAGAGTTGAGATTCAAACTGACGATCCTGGTTGGTGGTGATGGTCTGCAGGCAACCAAAGTGGGATATCCAGCCAGTCAGTAGGGCTCATGCCACTGTGTCGGCTGTGATGTCCGGGATGGGGATGACTTCTGGCCAACAGGTGAAACAGTCGACTGCAGTGAGGCATTATGTGTAGCCTGATGTCAGAAGGGGTCCCACTAGATCTATGTGGACGTGAAGAAATCTGGCTGCCGGCAGTGTAAAGTCGCCCAATGGAGTGACTGTGTAGCGCTAGCAGAATTGGCAAGCACGTGCCCATGTGCAGCAGTCCTTCTGCATGCCTGGCCACACAATATGCTGTGCAACCAGTTTTGCTGTTGCTTTGGTCCCTGGGTACAACAGATCATGGACGGACTGGAACACTTCGAACCGTAGAGGAGCTGGAATGTATGACCGAGGTTTCCCGGCAGAGGTATCACAGTAGATGGACACTGTGGTACCGGGGATTGGTAGCTTCTCGAGCCGCAAAGCCGAAGTGATTGTCATCGCTGTCCTGCGATGCGGCCAGTGCATCGTAGGATGGTGGTACAGTGATGGACTCGACGTGGAGAGAGCGTCAGTAACAACGTTGTCCTGTCCAGAGATGTGTCGGTCGTGAATTGTGCTATGAAATCCAGGTGGTTGAATTGCCTTGGTGAGCATTTTTCCCTTTTCTGCTTGTTTTCTGTGAAGATGCTGAAGTGGCGCGCTTCCAGCATGTGGCGAAAGTGCTTTACAGCCTCATAGACAGCCAGTAGCTCACGGTCATACACAATGTATTTTTGCTGGGCTGGGTTGAGTTTCCTTGAGAAGAATATCAGGGGCTGCCAGGTGTTCTTGACGTGATGCTGTAGCATGGCACCCATGGCGGACATGGAGGCATCTGTAACGAGTGGAAGTGGCGCGGATGGATTGGGGTGAGCCAGTAGTGTGGCACGTGACAAACTCACCTTGCACTCTTCGAAGGCCTTGTGGAGCTCTGGTGTCCAATTGATGGGGTGGGAGCCTTTGACTTTGGGTCATGAAGTGGTGATTACATTGTCGACAATGATTGTGTAGTAGAGAAGGTGAACAAAATGAGTCACAGTGAGGGGGTAAAGACTCTTGAGCAGCACTTTTGATGTGGAGAAACAAAAAAGGGTATCAGGGATGGACAGCTTCTGAGACAGTGGTGTGACCTTGCCACAAAGAAGAGGAAGGAAGGTGGAAGACAGACTTTAATCACAAGCTTCCATGAACAATTAATAAGATTTTACTGTGCATGTATGACTTTTCATTTATGAAAGTTTACTTTTGCATTGCTCTTTGATGTTACCAACTAAATACAGGTGGCCATAAATTGTTCACCACTTTTTAAAGTTACATAAATCACAAAGTTTTAGGGATATTGGAAAATGGACTGCATTGTTTGAAAGAATTGCTGAAATATTTTCATGTTAATTGATTGCCCAACTGATAGGGGCACTATTGAAATGTGCACAGCTGACGAATGCAAAATGGCAGTTTCCCTCAAACAGAACACAAAGTTTGTTGTGGTACTTGTAGACAAAATCAGTTATTCACATGCAAAGATTTTTTTCTTCCTGTTGCTCCCACTTTTGGACCATAGGCCTGATTTCTCAATTTGATTGATCATATTTTTTACAGACGGTAGGACTCTTTGGATGGGTGATCAGCTCATTGCAAGGCCTCTACCTAAGCCAGGAGAACACAAACACAGAGTAAACACATACACACACCAAACATCCATGCCTTATGTGGGATTCGAACCCACGATCTGGCTTCTGAGTGAGTAGAGACAGTACATGCCTTAGACCACTCAGCTACCGTGACCGGCATGCTAAGGTATTGCTGTTAGGAGTATGGAGAACAAGCATCACCTGATGGTTGAACAGTTTCAAGATACAGGTAGGGTCCTGCATAAGGAGGTTGTGTTAGGTCGTTGGACCCTCCTTTCAAGAGAAGACCATGAACAACACACATTATTTCAATATGCTTGCATTATTTGCAGTCCATCAGATGGCACACCTCCGGTCAAGTAAAGTAAAAGTAAAGCTATCCCTGTAACAGGCCGTGAAGGCCCATAGGGTTATGAGACGAGGGTCCCACATTATCTAGACAATCAGCTCAAAGATGGCGGTAAGGTTGTCAGCCTTACGCGCCGGCCATGCTTTACTTCCCAGGAAAATTATTTAATTAATTCCTGGTACTCATTTCTGTTAGAGGCTGAGTCGACCCCAGGGCCATAGTACAGCTGGAAGGATTAGGTCAATTAAAAAAAAAATCAGTGACCCCATCGGGACTTGAACCCGTGACCTATTACACCTCCGGCCAAACGTTTTATTGCAACAAGATGGTGCCCCTCCACACTGGGGCTCTACAGTGAGCGTCTCTGAATAAACCTTTTCCAAACAGATGGATTGGGTGGGGCAGACTAATCCCTTGGACCCCTTGCTCCCCTGGTTTAACGCCATCAGATTTTTTCTTTTAGAGAAGGGCTTTGTAAAGGGCTGTGTATTCCATCCCAAATTTGGTAGTGTGGTTGCACTTCATGCACAAATCAATAGTGCATTTGCATATGTGACACCGCAGATGCTGGAAAACACATGGAATGAGATTGAGTAAACTACAAATGGCACTCACATTGACATGTATTGAACTTGATGAGTTGCTCTTTCAAGCAAAGCAAACCAGTTCTCTGTGTATCATATTCTCTGTTTTGTGTGTGCTCGAAATTTGCTTAATAAATTTTGGCCGCTCTGTATTATTTACATACTTTTGTTTCATAATACAGTTATGAACTAAGTTGTGTAGATATTTGTTCTGTGTTTTTAATTTTATTTGTATTATCCAGCTGCCCTTGGTTCAATTTAAGTTGGATAAGTAGGGTTTTACTCTGCTAATTTTTTAAATATTATGTTTATTATGTGTTCATTGATTCAGGCCAAGAATATGACACCAGTCCCAGGTAATGTAAGGAAGAAGACTAAGATTCGTGCTATCTGGGGAAAAGTGACTAGACCTCATGGAACTTCAGGTGCAGTCCGTGCCAAGTTCAAAAAAAATCTCCCCGCCAAGGCAATGGGTCAGCGCATCAGAATTGTGAGTTGCTATTTAGTAAAGTGGAATATAGAATTAGTTTCTAGGTCTGAAGGAAATAGTTTCAGAACTTTACAGTATGGTGATGCACAATTCAAGCTTTACTTGCTCACACAATATTTTGTACTTAACACTATTGACTGAGCAAATAATGTCTGCAGTCATGATAGCAACATTTAAACATACATCTTAATTTTTTTCCCACCCTCTTTCAACAAATCCAAATCCAGAGGGAGAATGGCTTAGTTTAATTTAATTACCGTTGGTCTAGTATACATGTAGGTCTTATTATGTGCACATTTGAAATGTGCAATTTAATTTTAATGCCATAAACTGATTTAGTCCAGTTTCAATTAATAGCACCTGCTCCAGAGCAAATTGCTTGCTGGATAGTTGAGACAGGGTGGAAGAAATGAGAGCGAAGTATTGTGCCTAGCCACTGCTCTTCTGCACATCTGCCACTGTTACTCAGTACAGTAACTCATTGTTTTGTTATGCCCTTTGAGCTACTGTTGCTTCTTTTTTGAAAACACAATTGTCTCCTAAATTGAAGAATGCCTCTTCTCTTCTATGCTGCTGTGTACTATATTGTATTTTACTCTGTGCTTTACTACTCATTTACTCTGCTATACATTATGTACATAATGTACATGTACAATATGTATATCTGGTCTAATAAAAATTGTGGCATGTAGACCCATTACTAGGCAATGAACGTGAAACATGCAATTATACAACACCCGTTGCTAAGTTACAGTCTGCAAACAAGCATGTTTCCATAGCAACAAGAGAACACATTAATAATTGAAGAGACATTTTCTGTGCAGTCTGTACCTGGGTGTTGTAACCAGGATCAATTAGTAGTTGAAGTTAGAGAACTGCTGGGGTTCAGTTACTGTTAGAAGCTGGTAACTGAGGTGGGGGACAATTCAGGAATCCAGAGGAAGGGAACATTTGCTGTTGGAAGCCATTCCAAGCAGTGGCAGTGAAGATATGACTGTGGACACCAGTGTGTGTATAATAGTGAACTGTAAAGTGTAGTCGCACACTGCATCAAAATGTCCCATAGATCCGATTACTAATCAAAAAACCCATCTATAGCCACATTCTATCACATGACAGTATAACTGAAACACTAATTTTACAAGAAGTCTAGCAGTAGATGATGATATTGTGGATGCATACTATGACCGTTTCCCGTCACGTTGGTGCACAACCTCTCTTTAATCGCTTTCCAAGTTGGGCTCCACTTCTTTTTTTATAAACGTTCCACCCAACTTGGTTGTGCACCACCTGTAACTGTTGTGACAGTGCAAACCTTTTACAATTCTCTATAGGACACTATGGTCCTCTAGCCATTTCAGTAGGGTGACTGGTTTATTGGGGAGACCGATTTATTAGCATGTTAAGACTTGCTTTTCGCATCTGGACAGTAACAACTGCCTCGTTTTGTTACCTACAGCTTGGGTGACTGGAAAGGGACAAGGCCACCATGGGAGGCAAGTCTGTAGTTTGCCGAAGATGTAAATTTTGTTTTGCTGATAAGTGTAGCTGTCATTAAAGTGTCTTCGGAAGAGTGTAATTGGACCCTAAACTAAGAAATAACCGCTTTCATGTGTGGGGTTCCGAGTTCCGTATCTTGGGATCTCTTTATTCTCAAAGTTCTTTATGTGATTGGCATGTGCTGATTGCATGATGAATTTGGCTAGTTAAAATCAGCCAATAGTAAACTATTCTTGTCTGGGAGAGAGGCTATCCATTCAAATCCTTCACAGGGGATGAAGCGCTGCTCCTGCAGGATAGCAGTCTTCAAAAACTTGGCGTTTTGAATTCATTGAACAAGATGTCCTCGACCGATGTTTATTGCGGACTGCAGACTTGTATGCTCTGACTGAAGCGACTGAAGTTCTGGATAACATTCAGAAGGAAATTCAAGTAATCTGTTGATGAAGTACATTAAGAACATGACTGGTAAATTCAGACATCCATATAAAGGGCCCTATAATATCACAAAAATTTTACCACCATCTGCATATGAAATCTCTGATTCTAAAGGAAAGTTGAGAGGAATGTTTAACAAACAACTTCTAAAACCATACTTTGTGGGAGTAGATGTCAGCTAGTTTCATTGTTGCAATATTGCCTAAGCTGAATTGTATATTTGATATGAAGTTATTGAGAACAAAGGTCTGTTATTAATTAGCTGTGATGAATAGGTACTTATAAAAATTTTACTACATTAAATTATTTTCTATATCTCAGTAGCTGATGAGTGATATTGAGGGAGGTATGAATGAAATTTGTGTGCGACTGTTATGTGTTATGTGTAAACTACTGAAGTGGGATTAGTAGTTAAAAAAAGTCACTTGAATTCTGTGTTACCTTGTATAATAAGCATATACATGTTCTTGTTAATAATTGCCATTTCTTAATAACTGTGTTGTATTTTTGTATTATTTACGTGTTGTTTGGATTTCAAAGGCAAGTAAGCTGTAATGTTTGTCAATTCCATTGAATCAAAATTGCCAAAATTACCCCTGGGGAGATTGTGACAGTCCAAACCTTTTACAATTCTCCATGGGACGCTCTGGTCCTCTAGCCATTTCAATAGGGTGACTGGTTTATTGGGGAGACCGATTTATTAGCATGTTATGACTTGCTTTTCACATCTGGACAGAAACAACTGCCTCATTTTATTGCCTACAGCTTGGGTGACCTGAAAGGGACAATGCCACCACAGGAGGCAAGTCTGTAGTTTGCCGAAGATGTAATTTTTGTTTTGCTGATAAGTGTAGCTGTCATAAAAGTGTCTTCAGAAGAGTGTAATTGGGCCCTAAACTAAGAAATGACCGCTTTCACGTGTGGAGTTCCGAGTTTTGTATCTTGAGATCTCTTTATTCTCAAAGTTTGTTATGTGACTGGCATGTGATGATTGCATGATGAATTTGGCTAGTTAAAATCAGCCAGTAGGAAACTATTCTTGTATGGGAGAGAGGCCGGCAATTCAGATCCTTCACAGGGGATCAAGCGATGCTCCTGCAGGATAGCAGTCTTCAAAAACTTGGCATTTTGAATTCATTGGAGGCAGATGTCATTGGTCTGCACTCCTCAAGTTTATCTAAATTTATCAGTCTTTAATTTCGGTTCAATAAATCTTTGATAGTAATAAAGGGCCACATTACTCTGCGTGCTAATGAAGTTATAGTATTTCGCTTCTGAAATAATCAATTTGTGGAGACTGGAAATTGTGTCATTGATTTCTAGCAGTGGTCTGGCTTTAAGTGTGCAGTTTCCCGTTGCCTCAGTTATTACTGTAACACGATCCTGATAAAGAGTCAAGTGGTTACCGAAGCTGGCAAATAAGTACAAAGATAGAAAGGGAACAGTTACACTATTGCTGGCAGCTGCTACTGGCAGGTTGTGGCTACAGCTGGCTTGATTCTCCTCACTCATCCTCACCACCACCACTTGTCCGGTAA